TTTGCATTAACTTTTTGGAACCGCGTCAGCTTGTCTGTGGAAAATGAACTCCTTACACCTGTTTCTAACAGTTTTCCAGAAGATAGTTCTGACCAAAAAATCAAGAGCCTGCCACTCCTATATACAAATAGACATCAGTCCAAATCTAGTTTTGACTGGGTTGTGATACAAAATACTACAGAAAGCCTGTCATTGTCAGAAATCACAAATGACAATGTAAAAAAATTAGTAGCTTTATTATCTAATTTCAGACAAGGCTCCAGGTTGCAAAATCTGACACTGACAAATGTGTCAGTGGACTGGAGTACTCTCATGGATATTTTTCAGACTGTATGGCATTCATCCATTGAATACTTCAACATTAGCAGGGTCACTCAACTGTCAGATGTCGAAAGCTATGACTTTGACTATTCAGGTACCTCTATGAAGGTACTGACAGTGAAGAAAATTAAAATCACAGATCTGTACTTCATACAGGATGACTTATACAGAATATTTGCAGACATGAATATTGCAGACATGACAATAGCTGAATCAGAGATGATTCATATGCTTTGTCCTTCATCTGTTAGTCCCTTTAGACACCTGAATTTTTTAAAGAATGATTTAACAGACTTACTTTTTCAAAAATGTGACAACCTAATTCAACTGGAGACATTAATCTTGCAATGGAATAAATTTGAGAGCCTTCTCAAGGTAAGCTTCATGACCAGCCGTATGAAATCACTGAAATATCTGGACATGAGCAACAACTTGCTGCGCCACGATGGAGCTGATGTACAATGCCAGTGGGCTGCGTCTCTGACAGAGTTGGACCTGTCCTCCAATCAGTTGGCAGATGCCGTCTTTGAATGCTTGCCGGTCAACATCAAAAAACTCGACCTACAAAACAATCAGATCAGCAGTGTCCCAAAGGGGCTGGCCGACCTAAAATCCCTGGAAGAGCTGAACCTGGCATCGAACAGGCTGACTGACCTGCCGGGGTGCAGTGGCTTTACATCCCTGCAGTTCCTGAACATAGAGATGAACTCGATCCTCACCCCATCTACCGACTTCTTCCAGAGCTGCCCAAGGGTCAAGGAGCTACAAGCTGGGCACAACCCATTCAAGTGTTCCTGTGAACTGCAAGACTTTATCCGTGTGGAGAGGCAGTCAGGGGGGAAGCTGTTTGGCTGGCCATCAGCGTACGTGTGCGAGTACCCGGAAGGCTTGCGAGGCACGGAGCTGAAGGACTTCCACCTGAGTGAACTGGCCTGCAATACAACGCTGCTGCTGGTGACAGCCCTGCTGCTGACGCTGGTGCTGGTGGCTGTGGTGTCCTTCCTGTGCATCTACCTGGATGTGCCCTGGTACGTGCGGATGACGTGGCAGTGGACGCAGACGAAGCGGAGAGCTTGGCACAACCACCCCAAAGAGCAGGAGACGGTTCTGCAGTTCCACGCGTTCATTTCCTACAGCGAGCACGATGCATTGTGGGTGAAGAATGAGCTGATCCCAAACCTGGAGAAGGGGGAGGGCTGCATACAACTGTGCCAGCACGAGAGAAACTTTGTCCCAGGCAAGAGCATTGTGGAGAACATCATTAACTGCATTGAGAAGAGCTACAAGTCGATCTTTGTGTTGTCTCCCAACTTTGTGCAGAGCGAGTGGTGTCACTATGAGCTGTACTTTGCCCATCACAAGTTATTCAGTGAGAATTCCAACAGCTTAATCCTGATTTTACTGGAGCCGATCCCTCCATACGTTATCCCTGCCAGGTATCACAAGCTGAAGGCTCTCATGGCAAAACGCACCTACCTGGAGTGGCCGAAGGAGAGGAGCAAGCATGCCCTTTTCTGGGCTAACCTGAGGGCAGCTATTAACATTAACCTGCCATCCAGTGATGAAAATAGGTGTGGGGAAACAGATTAAGAATCTTTCTAATGGATTTTGTTCTGGTTTATCTTTGAGAAGCAATAAATATTTTTTTCCTTTTTTGTCAATGTATTTAACTTTTTGTTACACAACCTTGTTTCTACCTGGTTGTCTGTGTTGCTTCCTGACTGTAGTCAAAATTCAGCTCACCTTATTGCAAATCTCTTGTGATAGCAAATCACAAATGAGTTTGAATGTGGATTTTGCTCTATGGTAGTGAGTTTTTCCTCAGCAGAATAAAAGTCTGGGGCACTTGGCATAGTCGTGTGGAAAAATGCTTGAGCGGATGGAGAGTTTGCAGAGCTGCTCTAATCACAAAGCTCAGACAACTTGGTCAAAGGACATCTTTTACTAAAATTAGTCTGCAAGAAAGAAAATTACGTATCCTGAAAAAAAAGGAAAGATGAGCTACTTCACCTTTTGGAGCTCATAGCTTGGCACTGCAGCAAGGGAAAAGCAGTGAATTGACAATCAGAGCTCTAATTCTCATCCTCTGATAGTTTGGTACTATTTTGATCCTGAGAAATACCCTGACCCAAGGGTATCTGCATTAACAGAACTGCCTTCCTCATCGTTATTCATGTTTTGAGAAACTCCTGACTTCTCTACATCATGCCTTTTTTTCCCAGCTTTTTTCTTTTTTTCTTTTCACCCCTATATCTTACTTTATGCTTCTTAAAAGAATCTGTCCTTTTCAGCTGAAACAGCTTTTGTAGCACAGCTGTGAGTTGTGATCAGAAAGGCAATAACCAGTCAGAGGCTGAAAAAATTTGCCAGGTCTTGGGACTGCAGGTAAGACTTTATTAATGGAGTTAGAAACACAAACTACATTCACGATATTTGCTTTCCTTTATAGAAATACAGCAGGTCCCTCTGCCCGTACTTGTGCTGTTTCAGCTTCAAAAAAACATAGCTGGGCTCAGGAAAACATTCACAGCTGCTAAAGATGATGACAGCAAACTTCCTCTTTGCCCCAAGAAGGGAAGATCATTTGAAATACCACAGTTAGGTGACCAGCAAGTAGGAAGTTTCCCTTCAAAAATGTGTTTCAACAAGAGTATGAGAGAAGAAGGGGTGTTAAGAAATCCTCATTAAGTATAGAATGTTTGCATTTTATCTCATCCTTTTCTTCCATTATTATTAAAAAGAATATTAATTTTGATATTTCTTTTTGCATGAGGTCTAAGGAGGCTGAGATTTCTTGACTTGAAGTCTTGAGCTGTGAGTGACTGTTTATGACCTGTAGAGGAAAGGTCAAATTTATCACCTTTAACTCACATCCCACCTAGCCTCAAAATTAATATAACACCTATTACCAAATTGAAGCCACTTCATTCAGGACTGTAGAAACAAATGTTGTTTTCTCTGCTTCCTCCTTCCCCTCCCACTCATGCTTCAGTGTATGACTCATTTAACCCTTCATAAACTGAAGATGATCCAACTTATCTTGGTTTGCCTATCCCTTTCACAGAAGCAGGGATAGCTGGATCGTTATGTGGTGCCTCGCTTGAAAATTTTCTTTGAGAGCCTCAGACTTTTAAGTCGGTAGCCCTTGAAACTTGTGTAATACAGATAGATAATATCCCCTGTTGTTTGTAACCTTAAGGACTCATCTGGCTTCTTCTGTTGGCTGGAGGATAAAGAAACTCCCTGAAATTCAGAAAGTGCACCAGGAGTCCTTCCTCCAGAAGGACTTGAAGGTTTTAGCAAGGTTTGCTTGCCTCTTTGGAAAGTACTTGGGAAACTGACATCTGGATGTAGCTGGTGTGATGATAAGCAGAAATATATAATTACAGGTTTCTGGTATATGTCCAAAATCCTTGAGTGGAAAGAGTGGCTTTTAATAAGCATAGGCATCAATTAAAACTTGTACTTTGGAACCAGAAGCCCACATACTATTAGCTTTTTTTTTTTCCATGATATGTGCCAAATAATTGATAAAACAGCTACACATGCAATCAATTATTACATCTAGTTTCTCTGATTCCACAGGAGATGATGAGTTTCTCAAATGGTATATATCAGAATATTTCAAACAATTATTTTAGCCTCTGTAATGCTCTCAAACCTTTCGATAAAACCAGTTTTAATCCATGAAGAAATTTTTCCTGTACTGGGACCATGTGTTGTCTCACATCACGTCAACCACCTTATCTGTTTTGGAAAGTAATTAACCTTTTCTGTGCAGCCTGGTGATGTGTTCCTGCAATTGGTTCTGCACTGAAATCTGGAACTGCTAATGCACTCCACTTATCAGGAAAAGGGAGTGTGTAAATGTGTTCTCATGTCAGATACTATATCAGAGCAGATTCCTGGCATTTGACTAGTCAGCTCAGTGACTAGCAGGAATGCTATTTTTATGTACATTAAAGTATCAACACACAAAACTGATAGTATGGGGCTTAAACACTCTCCCAAACCTAAAAAAATGTGCAAAATGAAGTTGAAGTGGAAATGTTTTTATGTATATGTAGGTAGTGTATAGTACAAAGGAAACTAAACTGCAACAGACTGAGAGTCATGACACAATGTGGGTTGCCCTGCTGAGAGCTGGGCTCTTTTATGGCTTTAAAAGTGTTACAAAACATCATCACAGAAGATCAACTGCAGAGAGTTAGAGCAAGGAAAGGCACTCAAGGGAAAATAATGGGACTCTGTGGGAGATAAGGCATTCTGCTGAGAGGAAGGTTCAAAACCTCTGTGAAACCCATGTTTTTATTCAGGCCTTTGGTTTGTCTGGTTTTTCTTTTGGAAATATTTACTGAGATTGACTATACTGCTCGTTTTTAGTCACTGTTTCATCAAGAGGAAGCAGTATTTATAAACCAATAAAGTGAGAAAGTCGTGTGTTCTTCAAGATGGCTCTGTGTTACCGGTTTCATTTCCACAGCTTTGACCCTTGTGTCTATTTGTGTCAAAGCAAGATAGGCTTGAGCATAAATGTGATACTGCTCACTTTGACTTGTAGAGGCATTTAGCCTTTGTTTCATCTACTTGACATACAGGGTTAATTTGTGACAATGAGAGTTGCAATTGAAGATAAGATCCTCGGTATGACCAAGCACCAGCTTTGCAATTAACTTTTCATGAGTGCTTCAATGAGTCTGTCTGCTCTGACTATGTTTTAGTTCCATGTCTTGCACATGTAAGCTCACTTCTGCAGTTCTAGTTAGAGAGGTTCTTCACACTTTTGGCACGATGCTGGTCCTGAATAGTTTCTGATACCTGGCCAAGTGTAGCTGTGGTTCCTATCTGGGTAAGTAATGACAACATACAAGCAGAAGTGTGAAATATGTTTTCATGAAGATAGGTGCTCATTGGTAGAACAATCTGCAAAAAAACCCAGCAGTATAAAATTCAGAAATGGAACAAAGTATCTGCATGAATGTACATGTACTGACTATGGAAAGAATGGTATTTAGCTCATACTTTTCAGGATGCATGAACAGAAATACATTGCTTTTATTTTTTGCCTGTCATACAAAATGACTGAACCAGTAAACTGAAAACAGCCCCAAACAAAACTTTGTTGAATTGGTTAGTAAAAATAACCATTATGCAATGTTCCTAATGGTTTAACAGAGGTATTCAGGAGTATCGATTTTATTTTAACTCATTGCAATTTTTTCTTCACGTCAAACTGTTTATTTGAATGTATTTTGAAGTCTCATAAAGAAGAGTGGCAAGGAAATTAAACACACTACAACTAAAAGGTGCTTTTTATAGCTATATGTGCATTAGCTTCAATTCTGATGACAGTTGATGGTGTATTTGATTTTATCCATGCAGCAAAGTTTTTTTTTATGGACTATATTGGAAGTAAAACTGCCACTGTTCTGCATTATTGCAATATCGTTGTTCTGTCAACAAGTGCCTTAGTCTACTTATTTTCATGGATGAATGGCTAGAAATGGGAGCTTCTCTTTTAACTTTGAGTCAAAGCAGTGTTAGCTGACAAGTAGACTCTTCCTGCTTATTGAGAAACATTAATGATCCCTGGTCTTGTCTCAGGTCACAGATGACCCAGACTTTTCTCTAACATATTACTCAATTCTCTGCACAGAGAAAACCAGAATAATTTTAGTTCAGTTCAGTTTTAGTCATCAATCTCGAAGTGAAAAATAGCAGTTTTCTTTCAGCAAACCAAAGGATTAAATTATTTACAAAATTGAAAAGGTAACTGCAAAAGAAAACTTTCAAAGGAATCTAATGCAAGCTTGAAACGTAGCTAGCACTGCTATCTAGAATAAAATTTCATGCTTTTCAGGTTCTTTAACTGAATCTTTAGCTGTTGTGTTAGTTTGGAGGCTTATAGGAGTGAAATGTTGGTTTTGGTTATTGTGTTTAACTCCAGCCCACAGCTAAGTACCATGCTCACTTCCCTGCTGTCCCCCATCCCCAGTGGGGAGGAGAATCAGAAAAAAAGTAAAACTTGTGGGTTGAGATAAGAGCAGTTTAAGAATTAAAACAAAGTAAAATATAGTAATGATGATGATAATGATGGTGATGATGATGACAATGAGAGAGAGAGGACTAAAACGCAGGAGAAACAGGTGATATACAATACAATTGCTCATCACCCACTGACCAATGCCCAGCCCATCGCTGAGCAATGATCAGCCCTCCTGGCCAACCCTCTCCCAATTTATGTACTGAGTGTGATATTCTGTGTTATGGAATATCCCTTTGGTTGGTTCACATTGACTGTTCTGGCCATGCTCCCTCTCGGCTTCTTGTGCACCTCTTTGCTGGCACAGCATGGGAAACTGGAAAGTCCATGTCTTAAAAATAAGAACTACCCAGCAACAACTAAAACGTCAGGTGTTATGAAGACTGTTCTCACACTGAATGCAAAATAGTCTTGTACCAGCTATTAGGAAGAAGATTCACTCTATCCCAGCCAAAACTGGGACAGTTATTTACATCTGCCTTTGCAATACACTCACTCTCTGCTATGTTGATTTGTTCCCTGGGCTTGTGCCCCTGTTCAAAACTTGAAGTGAATGGCTGCTTTACTGGATTCCTTCATCCACTGATTGCCCTATATTGCCATATTCTTAATGGCTTCATTACAGCTTTCTTATCATAGGGAATATTCTCTGTTAATTTTTTGTAATTTTTTTGAATGAAGCTACAATGTGGGTTATCCTTGACACCTATCCGAGGCATTTCTAGAGTAAAGATAACTGACCTGTAAAGGTTTTTAACTGGGTCAGTTTGCCCCTGTTACTAACTTTTGAGATATAAGCTTTTGCTATTGTGTTACAATGTGTTACATTAATTACTCTGCTTGTGGAGCAAAAAAATTTGTCAGCGTAGAGCTCTGCAAGAAATCTTGATACAAAGAGAAGTTCAGTGAGGGTTCTGCTTCCTCTTTTCTGTGTGTGCAAAGAGGAGATGCAGTTGATGGGTTTCTAGAACATCTGTGTAACAACAGAAGCAGACTTGAAATTAAAAATGCAGAATTATTTAAATAATCTTGCCACGGGGAATATTCTGTACTGCAGATAGGTTTATTTTCTCCTGAACTGTACAGTTATGTAAATATTACAGAAGTAAATGTATTTTTAGTCTGAACTGTTAGAAGTTCCCTTTCGTTGTGCTCTTAATACCTGCAGTGTAAGGAAATTTTCTTAATTCTTAGAATTGTGTAGCCTGATTAAAAAATCCTGTTCTTTCTGATTTCTGAGGTAGTAATTATTAAGAAATTAGCATCTCATGTGAGATTCCCGATCTTGAAGATTTCATGTGTTTGAAATTCTATTTTGAGGCTATTAACTGACTATGCAGAGGACTTTTGCTTGTTCATCAACTTGGAGATGAGTTCCATGCACTAAAGGTGGGTTATAATTGCTCCATTATTCATAATTTTTTCTCTTTGCTATATTTATCTTGGACTTCATCAAATCTCAGGTGCTAGTATTGCTTCAGTGTTGGAAGATAATCTTGCATGTGGAGATTTCAGTGAAAATGCTCATCTGTATGTTGAATTTCAGCAAAGGGGAAAGGGGGAAAGTCATTTGGTGTGGCAATTTTAATTCTCAGCCAACTCTAATTTAATACCATTCTAAAACAGCATTGGAGGGGTAACTGTTGATCCTTAATATTGCTTTGCTAGATGTATTTGCTTTACTCTCTGACTGTGGCAATCTTAAGTGCTATACACTGTGTCTCGTCCCTTGTTGCAGCGTGTAGCATAGCATGTACAATAACGTAAAACTCATTGGCAATGGAGCATGGACAGAGAATATATTTCCAGTTTTTTTCTCCCTTCAAAACATTTCTTGCTTTATTCCTGACATCCCTTTTGGCCAGGGGGAAATTCCTCCAGATAGTTCCAGATCAAAGTTTATTTGATTCAAGAGTTAGATTGTTTACCAGCCTGAACCCTAAAGAACAGGGTCAACTGCTCTTTGAAGGATGCTGGGTCAGATTTCCTTGTCTTGTTTCCTCTTGTGAGTGATACCATACTTTGACCAAACATCCCAGCTTCATTTCTATTGTGCCCTCAGACACCCCAGCACAACTTTCTGAAGACCTAATTTGACCACTCTATTGGATTTAATTGAGGTAGAGATTTATATTTTACTGATTTACTCTTTTATTGCTTTTGGTGATGTTAATTGCATATATTTTTGCTTTACTTGATTAAAAGAAAACTTGATTAAACCTGATAGGAGACTTGGAGGGGAAGGGTCGAGTTTCGATATCAGTTAATAAAATTATTAGGGACTAACACACATTATAACCTTGAACTGAAAAAATAGGGGTTTGGGGTTTATTTAACAAAAGATTACACAGGGACAGAATTTTAAAACTGAAACAGACTGTATCTGGGAATCACTGCTTCATACGTAGTGTCCGGTCATGGTGTGGTTTTCCCATTAGTGTGCTTTTGGTCAGACTAGTGTTACAAAATTCATGAGTGTGGTGAGTTGACCCTGGCTGGACTCCAGATGTCCCCCCAAGCCACTCTGTCACTCCCCTCAACTGGACAGGAAGAAAATATAATCAAGGTTTGTGGGCAAGATAAGGACAGTGAGAGATCACTTGCACATTACTGTTACGGGCAAACCAGACTCTATCTCCAGAAATTATTTCAGTTCATTACAATTAAATCAGAGTATGGTAATGCGAAATAAAACCAAATCTCAAAACAGCTTTCTCCCACCTCTCCCTTCTTCCCTGGGCTCAGCTTCACTCCCAATTTCTCTACTTCCTCTCCCAAAGGCACAGTAGGGCAGCAAATGAGGGTTGCGGTCAGTTCATCACATGTTATTTCTACTGCTTCTTCCCCCTCACTCTCTTCCCCTTTTTCCAGTGTGAGGTCCCTCCCATGGGAGACAGTTCTCTAATGTGAGTCCTTCCCACAAGCTGCAGTTGTTAAAGAACAATTCAGCGTGGGTCCCTTCCATGGGGTACACTCCTCTAGGGAACAGACTACTCCAATGTGAGTCTCCCGTAGGGTCACAAGTCCTACCAGTAAACCTCTTCCAGTGTGAGCTCCTCTCTCCATGGGTCCACAGGTCCTGCCAGGAACCTGCTCCAACGGAGGCTTCCCATGAGGTCACAGCCTCTTTCAGGCATCCACCTGCTCCATCGTGGACCTCCATGGGCTGATGAGGCCTGCCTCACCATGACCTTCACCTCAGGCTGCAGGGAAATGTCAGCTCCAGCACTTGAAGCACCTCCTCCCCCTCCTTCAGCACTGACCTTGGTGTCTGCAGAGTTGTTTCATATATTCTCACTCCTCTCTCTGAGCTGCATTTGCTGCATTTGCCCAGAGGTTTTTTCCCCCTTCTGATTCATGTTATCCCAGAAGCACTACTACCATTGCTGATGGGCTCAGCCTTGGATCTGACTGGCACTGGCTCTATCAAATACAGAGAAAGCTTCTGGCAGCTTCTCACAGAAACCACTCCTGTAGTCTCCCACTAACAAAACTTCATCACATAAGCCCAATACAATGGACAGTATAATTTCTCCTTAGCATTCTTGGCTTATTGGAAAAATGGACCCCTATGTCTGTGCTATAGCACAGACAAAGCTGATCAGCTGACCTGAGGGGGTGTATGGCCATGTCCAGGGTCTTTGAGGTGTGAAGAGGAATATCCTTTGACTCTTCTGACTGAAGAGGTTATTTTTGCACCAGTTCCTGTGAGGGTGGTTCTATTGAAGTTCTGTCCCCAAATGTGTGTGACCTTGGGATGTACAGAAAGAGCAGATGAGGGCCCTGTTCTGTTCTCCTTTATTCCTAAATGCATTTTCTACTTGTGCCAGTTTTGTACTTTTCAAGATTGTTGAGAAAGTTGTATTTCTTTACATCTATGTGTTTTTAACATACCAGTGATTATATTCCTCCCATTATAAAGGAATTAATTTATATTTAACAGAGAAAAACAATAACTGGGATTAGAGAATGGGGGGGGGCATGAGAACAATTGATAAGAACTTAGAACAAGAGTATGTAAAAATATTTTTTTATTTTATATTGAACCTTATTTTAGCAATAAAAAACCAAATTCAACCATTCAACAATTTCATCAAATTCCATGTGTTTTCTTTTCATAGGGCTGGACTCAACAGTGAGACATATTGAACAGAAAACAACTATATACTTCTATGTTTCTGTAAAAACACAAGATAAACCTGGATAGCATAATGAGACCCCTCACAAATACCTATGTCTTTGTTTGTGCCTTTACATTCACACTATGGAATAATATCCAGCCAACTGTGGAAAATGAATTTATTGCAAATTATTCAGGCAGATTGCTAACTAATGTTCCAAAAAACATTCCACTACGTATTCAAGTATTAGATTTATCACATAATAGGATCTCTGGAATTAGTATCTCAGAATTTATTTATCTTTCTGACCTTCAAGTATTAAATCTTTCTCATAATCTAATTATGGTGCTTGACTTTAGTGTCTTTGTTTTTAATGAAAATTTAGAATACTTAGATTTATCTCATAATAACATTTTGAAAGTTTGCTGTCTAACTCTTGCATGTCTTAGACATTTAGATCTTTCTTACAATAAGTTTACTGCCTTGCCTATCTGCCAGGAATTTGAGAACATGTTTCGTTTGGAGTACCTAGGATTAAGTGCCATGATGATACGAAGGTCAGACTTCAGGTATATCAAACATTTGCAGCTGCACACTGTCTTTCTGACCTTGGGAAACTTTTCTCTGTATGAACCGCAGAGTCTGACAGCCTTGAATACAAAGAGGCTCCACACTGATTTTGCAGCAAACCAAAACTTCAGTTTTTCCCTCTTGTACGATGGAATGAGTACTTCAGAAAATTTAAAAATAGTTAACTTAATATATACCTTGAGCTATAAATATTTCCCCTCTCCTCCTTTAATGCTTCTGAAGAAAATCAAGACAACGGCTCTCATTCTTGACACTGTGGATGTACAATGGCCTATCATTCTGCAAATTTTCCTGCTTATTTGGTATTCACCTGTGGAGCATTTGACTGTGAGAAATTTGACTTTTCAGGGACTACTGGGGGAGCTGACTAAATATGAGTTTCTACCCTTGTTAAGTTCTCTGGAACAGTTAATCTCTTTGGATGGCTCCATGAAAGCATTAACTTTGGAGCATGTTCGTATTAAGATTTATTATTTCAACCAGGAGGTTCTATACAGACAGTTTTCAGAGATGAATATTGCCAGTTTGACAATATATGATGCATATATGCCACACATGCTTTGCCCCAATAGAACAAGCTCATTTCAGTATTTAAATTTTTCTCACAATGCCCTGACGGATGAGTTGTTCCAGAATTGTGGCACTTTGATAGATCTGAAATTACTTATTTTACAATGGAATAAATTTGAGAGCCTTCTCAAGGTAAGCTTCATGACCAGCCGTATGAAATCACTGAAATATCTGGACATGAGCAACAACTTGCTGCGCCACGATGGAGCTGATGTACAATGCCAGTGGGCTGCGTCTCTGACAGAGTTGGACCTGTCCTCCAATCAGCTGACAGATGCCGTCTTTGAATGCTTGCCGGTCAACATCAAAAAACTCGACCTACAAAACAATCAGATCAGCAGTGTCCCAAAGGGGCTGGCTGACCTAAAATCCCTGGAAGAGCTGAACCTGGCATCGAACAGGCTGGCTGACCTGCCGGGGTGCAGTGGCTTTACATCCCTGCAGTTCCTGAACATAGAGATGAACTCGATCCTCACCCCATCTACCGACTTCTTCCAGAGCTGCCCAAGGGTCAAGGAGCTACAAGCTGGGCACAACCCATTCAAGTGTTCCTGTGAACTGCAAGACTTTATCCGTGTGGAGAGGCAGTCAGGGGGGAAGCTGTTTGGCTGGCCATCAGCGTACGTGTGCGAGTACCCGGAAGGCTTGCGAGGCACGGAGCTGAAGGACTTCCACCTGAGTGAACTGGCCTGCAATACAACGCTGCTGCTGGTGACAGCCCTGCTGCTGACGCTGGTGCTGGTGGCTGTGGTGTCCTTCCTGTGCATCTACCTGGATGTGCCCTGGTACGTGCGGATGACGTGGCAGTGGACGCAGACGAAGCGGAGAGCTTGGCACAACCACCCCAAAGAGCAGGAGATGGTTCTGCAGTTCCACGCGTTCATTTCCTACAGCGAGCACGATGCATTGTGGGTGAAGAACAAGCTGATCCCAAACCTGGAGAAGGGGGAGGGCTGCATACAACTGTGCAAGCACGAGAGAAACTTTGTCCCAGGCAAGAGCATTGTGGAGAACATCATTAACTGCATTGAGAAGAGCTACAAGTCGATCTTTGTGTTGTCTCCCAACTTTGTGCAGAGCGAGTGGTGTCACTATGAGCTGTACTTTGCCCATCACAAGTTATTCAGTGAGAATTCAAACAGCTTAATCCTGATTTTACTGGAGCCGATCCCTCCATACGTTATCCCTGCCAGGTATCACAAGCTGAAGGCTCTCATGGCAAAACGCACCTACCTGGAGTGGCCGAAGGAGAGGAGCAAGCATGCCCTTTTCTGGGCTAACCTGAGGGCAGCTATTAACATTAACCTGCCCACAGCCATTGAAGCAAATAAGGAGCAGAGTGATGTTACATATACTTAGTAGTATAAGTATGTGAATAACTGATTTGACTGTTTTACATTAAATTCTGTTAATAATTTTTTCTATTTTTTTACACCATTGCTAGTTTGTTGCAAAATGTATTTGTGATACATATAGAGATTGCTATTGCAAATTCTAGTTGTCAAAGTAGTCAAAGGTCATCTGTAGTTGTCCATCATCAACAAAGAGAGGGAGGGAGAAATTTTCATAGTGATTGACCTTATTTTTGGGTTGCATAAATTTCATACTTTTCCCTTTGAAAGCCATATTTGAAAGTGATGATGATAGCGGTTGGTTCAGTGTCATCAGGACTGCCAAGGAATGCGTTTAATCTTTGTTCTGACATGAATGTTGTGGGGTTAAGATTGTAAGCATCTGCTTCCTGGGATTTAATTAGATAACACAAAGAAGAAGAAAATTTGTGTTTAAAACCCTTCCTGTACATGGATGTAGTAGATGTCATAGGTACAATATCCCTATACCTTTAGCCTGTTTTCCTTCCTAGAAGTCTTTCCCTCCATCCCAGAGAGAGTTTCCTAGGTAGGTGCTGAAAATCTGGATCCATTAATCCTTGTTTAATATTCTTCTTCCTTTGCTGTACTAAATATTCCCACTTGCCCAGAGATAACTACCAAGTCAATGATTTCATAGAATTCACTATTCATTGTCTTCAAAATCATAGTAAATATCTGAACTTATGAATTTTTTATAATACTGTAATATTACTGCTTTCTGCTATGATCATATCAAGCTGTACTGGGTTATGTATTTTTCCTGTTTTCTAAAACTTAGAAGATTGATGTTTGAAGGTGAGACCCTTTTATCTCCAGACTTTCACTGAACTCTATTACCTTGCTCTTTTAAGCAGCAGGTGCTGAGGGTCATCATACAGGTGAAAAAGGAATATGTTTCCTTAGAAAATAACTCCTCTGCTGAAATCTAACAGTGTTTTCTTTGATAGGAGACATCTAGTTTGCTGTGCTTATTTGACAGTCCAATAAACCTCCCTTCTTTATCTGTTATTAAATTTCATGTGTCATTTAACTGGTGATGTGGGGGTTTATAATTATGCTTATGGTTTAATGGAAGTGCAAAGCCCAGTGATCACAGCTGTGAGCAGCACGTGAGGTGAGCAAACCAGTAAGAGGATGTGATCCTTAACACTCACTGAGGTGGTTCACCAAGCACCCACCAGGCATGGTAGCTGGGTGAAACAGTGAATCTGAAGTTGTGGGAGAACTTCCTGGTGTCCAGTGATGCTGAAATACTGCTGGCACCCACCTACCAGTTCAGGTTAAATGGGTAGGATCACAATAGAATGCAAGGTGCCTGGCTCCCAGTGAAGAGCTTTGGAAAAAAGAGCTAGAAATCCCTACTAAATCAAATTTCAGGTAAAAGGATTTTGGCAACTCACTTCTGTAACAACAAATCTGAGATCTCCCCCTTTCCAAAGTCAGGATGTGTGCCTTAAGAAGGGTTGCTAAACCCTCAGTATTTCAGTGGGAGCTGATGGATGCACCATACTTTAAAAGTACGTTGTTTATAACGAGGAAAGGTGTTCAAAGACAGAGAGGAGCTTAGTGCTCTGCAGAAGTCCAAGTCAGGAAGGCTTTACCCTATACTGAATGTCACTTGTGCTTCATGGCAACCCAACATCGTGGCCAGAGGCATTGGGCACCATGGAGTGCTGCTGAAAGTGCATCACAAATCTTGTGGGCCAGCCAGCCACTTACAGCAAGCTGTGTGGCGTGTTCCACAGAAGTACAGGTGTTAAACCTGGGGATGTGGCCTCTGTGGACCACTGGAGCTCTGCTGCAGGGGGAATGGGAGCTTCAGACAAAGTCTGAAGACTTAGTCAATGGTTTATACAGGTGTAATTCAGTCTGTATACAACTTTGTCCTGCAGGATTAAGAATGGCAAACCAAATATATTTACATTTAAAAAAATTATTTAAATTTATTTTGATAGTGATTAGAATAAAAAGACTTTAATCAGAATTTTTTACTACACAGTATAGGTAGCTATAGCTACTAGTATAGTGTGCTATTTTTGAAGTAATATTGAAGCAACTATATAAAAGCTAGCAAAAACAATTAGTATGTGGAGATTGATGTTAGTCACCCATATCAATGACTGTGGGCAAATCTGGTTCCCTCAGGCTGGAGGAGTAACCTTGTGGGGTGTCCCCACTCAAGGGGGGAAACTACACACACACTCCAAGAAGGTATGTTAAAGACTCTACCACTCAAAAGTGAGACTGGGCTTTTATATTTTATATATGATTGACTGTCAGCCAGATGTCTCCAGGCCAGCTGTGTTAGCTCAGCAGCTTTAACTAAGTTATTAGTAGCATCACTTGTTGGTTCCTTTTATCAGGCACTTTGTCAGGTCTTCCACATCTTCAGGGGTGCCAGTTTCTATGAGGAAGCATTGTTCTTCCTCAGGATGGTTGGGATTGATGAGTCAGGCTGGTTTCAGCATTCTTCAGTGCCAAAAGCAGCATGACACTGCCTTCTCCATTTGTCGGTGGAGAGGCTCGGGACAAACTGCAAACGACCAATGCGATCCGCCAAATGTCCACTTTATTTACAAAAAGATGCCCTTTATGTACTCCTTCTACACCCCGGTGGGTGATTTCTCTTCTACATTACTGGTTACATGAAAGTGTTCACAATGTAAACATGCCCTTTTGACCATTTCTAATTGGATTATTGGAGGTGTCCACGCGAGGTGAGGACATATGTTTACCTTTTGGGACTCCACCTTAATTTTGGCACAGATCCTTCTTTGTTTCAGCTTCAGAGCCTGGAGCCATGATGATTGCGCAGCTTTTTTTACTGTCCGTGCCTGACCTTGTCAAGGCAAGGCCCACAAAAATGCAGGAGAAATTGCTCACACAATCCTGCTCTCCCAACATCCAATCTCCACCGATAGCTTTGCAAACAGGGTATTGCTGGAGCTGTTTTATCCTCAATCTGCAGAGCATCCTGCTACAAGCTACAAGCTGTTTCCTTCTTAACAGGTCCTTCACAACAGGATTTTTCTTTACGTCTCCATCACACCACATTACATCACAATTTGCCCCTAGGCAGTCACCTGGCCAAGTGTTCGTGGCTTTTTTATTTCAGCTACAACCAGAGTTACATCTGTCAATAATTTAAGAGTTGTGTGCTATACAGCTTTCAGCTACCTAAGGAGCTGTTTAGTCACAGAAGCCAGTCCACATTAAGTGGGATGGGAGTTTTGTAGCCTTTACCTGACTTTATCTTCGTCTGACCAACCTAGTGGCCCTCTACAATGTACTGACTACAACAGTGGACAAGGGAAGAGTTATGGACGTCATTTATCTGGACTTTTGTTAGGCCTTTGACATGGTCCCCCACAACATCTTTCTTTCTAAATTGGAGAGAGATGTATTTAATAAGTGTGGAAAAATACTGAAAAACAAAACCCAGCAAGAAGAAGTGCACATGTTGGCAATAGTTCACCAGGAGCAAGCTGTCTGCACACCTTAGGAGCAGGAACACTGAGGGAGCTTGGTATACTGCCCTAAGGGAGACATGAAAAAAAGGACGGAGCAGCATGGAGGTGTTGTGGTCATGCGCTGTCAAAGTCAAAACAGCTAACAGGGACTAAACCAAAGGAATTACCCAAACGGTGACTGAAAGATGAACTTTGCTTCATTAACTCAAAAATGCATAGTACTTTTCACCTCCCCCATATGCTAATAAAGTAAAACCTGTACATGCTTTACGTGTAAGACTAAAGTCACTCAAACTACACCTAGACATGAAATTACATCACCTGTAACTCTACCATTTCCCCTCCCTCAAAGAAAACAATATAAATATATCTTAAGTGGGGGAGGAGGTCAGAGGACATTCCACTCTTGTATCCTGGGGCAGTCGATAGGCTGTCTCTCCTCCCCCATAGGAACACATATAGGGGAGACTAGAACATTTGGCAATACCAGGTGCTCCCTTGGAAAATTCAGAAAGCTGTCCTGTGTGATCACATTTTAGCACTATATAGTTATTTTACAATTTAATATATTTGTCGCTGGCTGTATTATTCATATTTTACGTATTCATGTATGCTTCTGCAGACAGTGTGTTTATCATCAGCAATCCAGTAAGAACCTGCATTTCTGTAGCTCAATAAACTACACTAGTTTGCATCTGACAATGAGAATTATTGAATACAATCAGACTTTTAATCAGTCTGTGAGAACTAAATGAATACAAACAGACTTATATTGTATCGCACTGTTCGTGCATCCATAGTCATGGTAGCTCTCAGTGCACGTGGCCAGACTTACAGTGCCCTGTTGGCTCTTCATTTCTCTGTTGCTTAGTGCCAAATTGGCTATTACTCAGAATTTAAGCCCAGCCTCCCTCAGCCCCTTTGATCTCTGAGAACTAACTGGAAAGCCAGGGGGATTATTTTCTGCCAAATCTCCTTCCTCTTAACACAACAGAAAAAATTACCTTACTCATAACTCAACAATGAGTTGACTGTTTGATGGATGAGGAATTGGCTGGACGGTTGCATCCAGAGGGCAGTGGTCAATGACTCAGTGTCCAGATAGACACTGATGACAAGTGGTGTCCCTCAGGGTCTGTACTGAAACCAGTTCTGTTTAATGTCTTCATCAAGGACATAGACAAAGGGATTGAGTGCACCCTCAGCAAATTTGCAGATGACACAAAGCCAAGTGGTGTGGTTCACACATCTGAGGGATGGAATGTCATCCAGAGGGACCTAGACAAGTTTGAGATGTGGGCTTGTGGGAATCTCATGGGGTTCAACAAGGTGAAGTGAAAGGTCCTGCAGTGGGTTGGGGCAACCCCCGGTTATCAATACAGGCTGGGGAATGAGCAGATCCAGACCAGCCCTGCTGAGAAGTACTTCGGGTGCTGGTGGATAAGAGGCTGGACATGACCTGACACTGTGCACTTGCCAATTGTGTTCTGGGCTGCATCAGAAGTAGCATGGCCAGCAGGGCGACGGAGGTGATTCTGTCCCTGTACTCTGCTCTGGTGAGATCTCACCTGGAGTTCTATGTCCAGCTTTGGGGTCCCCAGCATAAGGACATGGACCTGTTGAGCAGGTCCAGAGAAGGGCCACAAAGATGATCAGAGGGCTGAAGCACATCTCCTATGAGAAAGGCTGAGAGAGCTGGGGTTGTTCAGCCTGGAGAAGAGAAGGCTCCAGGGGGACCTACTGTGGCCTTTCAGTCCTTAAATAGGGCCTATACGAAAGATGGGGTCAGACTGTTGCGATAAGACAAGCAGTAATGGTTATAAAGTAAAAGAGGGTTGATTTAGATTGGATATAAGCAAGAAATTCTTTATAATGAGGGTGCTGAAACACTGGAAGAGGGCTTTCAAAGAAGTTGTGGACGCCCCATCACTGGAAACGTTCAAGGTCAGGTTGGACAGGGCTGTAAGTGACCTGATCTAGTTGAAGATGTCCATGTTCATCGCAGGGAAGTTGGACTGGATGACCTTTAAAAATCCCTTCCAACCCAAGCCATTTTATGATTCTATGATTTTATGATTCTACCTCTCTAGGGTTCATTGGCACTTTGAAGTGGAGAATGTTAACAGAAAATCTGTTCTCCTCCTTCCCGAAAGACTTCTCTACCCCCCAGAAATTACAGTCCAAGGACATGACTTGACACTCACACTTAGTGCTAATGGGCTAAAGACACAGAGTCTATCTGTTAACTAGATGAGAAAAGAGGAAATAAATTTCTCGAATCAGGGTTTCCAGTCTCTGTAAATGTAATCCCATCAGCAAACTGGGGTTTATGTCCTAAAAAACATAGAGGGGCTGGGCCGTGGAAGAGTCCCTCACCTTTAAGACTGTTCTGAAACCTAAGTTTTAGGTGGGTGTGAAAGGAATAGTTTCTTGACTCTGCCATGTATATTGTTTTAGGATATTAACACTGTAACAACCCTTTATACTCTGTCCTTCCCACCTCACAGATCTTT